TCTTTAAAAAGATTACATTAACCCTAGCTGGTTTGGCTCAGTGGTTAGAGTGTAAGCCCACAATCTGAAGGGTCATGGGTTTAAATTCCAGTCAAGGGCACGTACCTTGGTTGCAGGCTCGACCCCCAGCTCAGGTGGGGGCCTCTGCAGGAGGCAACCTATCGATCTCTCTCACATCGATGTTTTTCTTTCTTCTTCTCCCCCTCCCCGCCCCCCCAATTCCATTCTCTGTAAAAATCAATGGAAAAATACCCTCTGGTGAGGACTGACCAAATAAATACATACATACATACATACATAAGGTTAAAAATAAATAAATACATAAATAAATGTTCCGATTACAGTTCACATTCTTGTTTTGCGCTAGTGTCAGGTGCAGAGCATAGGAGAGTGTCTTTCTGAGATACAGGAGATAAGGACCAGGTGATTCTGGAGCTGCTGGCACCATTCTCCTGCTTCGTAGGGAGTCTGTCCGAGAACAGACTCCAAAGAGGAAAGCAGTCAGGAGAGGGAAGAGGCAGGTTCTTAAGGAATCCTCTAAGCACCTACCTGCACCCAGACATCAGGAATCACCAGCAGAATGAGCCAATAAAGCCCCCATTTTTCCTTCAACTACATTTTTTTAAAAATATATTTTTATTGATTTCAATGATGAGAGAATCACTGATCAGCTGCCTCCTGCACACCCAACACCGGGGATTGAGCCTGCAACCTGGGCATGTGCCCTGACCAGGAATCGAACCGTGACCTCCTGGTTCCTAGGTCAATGCTCAACCACTGAGCCACGTCGGCCGGGTACCTTCAACTACTCTGAGTGAAGATTCTATCCTTCCACCCAACTGATAGGTAATGGATCTGGTGCTCAGAAATGACAAATTCAAAGGATCTGCCCAGTGAATGGCTCACCTTTGGCACGGCCACCTGAAACATGATGTCCCAGACAGGCTGGGTGGCAGTGCTCATCATGGTCAACAGGAGCACCTGCACCTCGGGGTGGCCAGGGGCCCCGGTCTGGGAAAAGTGGAGCAGAATTCGGAATCCGTTCCGGTCGTACACAATGATCGGAGGCAGGCTGCCTGGTAGAGAAGGGCCCAGCCGGGAAATGTTAGTGCTGCTGTAATACCCAGACAGCCGAGCCTGGAGGAGACGTGCACACTCCCACCGAATGCTGGCGCTCCTCCGGTGAGAGCAGCTCTGGAGTTAGCCTCGGCACTGCCGAAAGCCAAGTCCTATGGCTTCCAGCTGGATGCCTATGACCATCCAACCGACCTAAGCACATTACCAGGTGTTTTTTAAAAATAAGAACTTTTTAAAAGGGAGATATGATTATGATTAAAATAATGTATGAACATGGAAAATACAGGATATCAAAGAACGTTTTTTTACAAAACACCCTTAGATGGAAAAAATAAAATAAACATCCTAATTCTACCCAGAAATAAGCACTGCTAACATCTGGACCTGTTTTCTTCTGGTCTCTTATATATGACTACACCCCCGCCCCCCATATTTAACTTGGAAAAATTATACAGATAGCAAATCTCTTCCAATTAAGAGGTTTAATGGCATTCCAACAGAAATCCTAAAGGGAATGTTTTAATACTCCTAGGAAATGATTCTACATCTCATTTGGAGGAAAAACAAAAACATGAGACTAACCATAGGAAAAAAAAAAGAGAGAGAGCGAGGGAGGTATAACTACTTGCATTAACAAATACTCAGATAGTACAAACTAGTAATTCAAGCAAAGTGGTATAAAACAAAGCATGCAGAACAGATCCAAATGTGAGAACTTAGTATGTTAAGAACATATATTCAATAAATGACAGACACCTGGCTAATGATCTGGAAAAAAAATTTAATGAATCCTTGTCTCATGCCAACCATCACTTATCAAAATGCAAATATAAAAATACAGTTCAAAAGCTCGGCCCATGTGGCTCAGTTGGTTAAGTGTCAGCCCATGCACCAAAAGGTCACCAGTTCGATTCCAGTCAAGGCACATGCCCAGGTTGTGGGCTCAATCCCTAGTAAGGGGCATATAGGAGGCAGCCGGTCGATGTTTCTCTCTCACATCAATGTTTCTCTCTCTCTCCCCCTCTCTCTCTAAAATATCAATAAAAGAATTTTTAAAAATACAATTTAAAAAAATCCTATATAATAAAAGCCCAGCGACCAAACAGCGGAACAGGAACAATTGGAACAACCAGAATGACCCGTCGACCAGCCGCTATGACACATACTGACCACCAGGGGGCAGACACTCAACGCAGGAGCTGCCCCCTGATGGTCAGTGTGCTACCACAGTGGGAGCGCTGCTCAGCTGACCAGAATGAGTGGCTTGCTCCCACTGTGAATCCCGGGCAGACGGGCAGGAACCTGGGCTTCAATCTTCATCTCCTCACTCCGGACTCCTCCTCCTTGCTCCCTGCCACCTCCTCCGGATGCCCACAGGCTGTGCAGCACCGCCACTGCCGGGCTCACAGAGCTGACTCCGGAGGCTGGGAGGCGGGTTCGTGGCCACTGTGGAACTGAGGCCTACTCCACCACCTCTCAGTACTATTGTTCCTGGGCCGAGCCCTGACCCGGTCCGGTCCCTGGAGGGGCGAGTGCTCTGGCTCCATGGAAGATGCTGGACCAGGGAGCAGCCGCTCAGAGGGCAGGTCCAGAGTCGCTCAGCTAACCAGGATGAGTGGCACGAAGATGCTGGGCCGATCCCCACAGGCCATGCCTCCCACCAGTGCACAAATCCCGTGCACCGGGCCTCTAGTATTTAATAATGAAACTGCCAAAGATTCAAAAGAATGAGAACACCTATAAGGGATCGTGGTTGAGTATGGAGTTAAGGCAACCTTTCTGGAAAGGAGCTTTGGCAATGCAGGTTAAAAATGTTTAAATATCTACACCCAGGTTTCTACATTTATTTATTTATTTATCTATCTATTTATTTATCAATCCTCACCCGAGGATATTTTTCCATTGATTTTTAGGGAGAGAGGAAGAGAGAGGGAAAGACAGAGAGAAACATCA